GGGGGGGGGGGGGGGGGGGGGGGGGGGGGGGGGGGGGGGGGGGGGCGCTCAAAGTTTAAGAGATCCTGGGCCCTGGGAATTATGGATTCCTGGAGATACAATCAGGAAAGGTCTGTTGGGAGCAAGTAAGCAGTTGAGGGTGGGGAGGGGAAAGAGGGGTAGTGTGGGTATTACCTTATGTAGTTGTGGCAGCTTTCATATCCCTGTAGATTAGTAAGGAGTAATCGCCACTGTGTAGGATTCGGGGGATCAATCACCTTCACGTCACAAGGGCAACTTCCTACAATGCTACCCTGGTTTCCAATAACTAAGGGAGAGGGAATAATAACGACCCAGGTGTGCAACAGTCACCTCCCCAGTTCCACTCGCCACAGCCACAACTAGACCCAGTCCATCCATCCCCAGGATTGGGGTGTCTTAACCTGTACTTCCTGTCTGACCAATCAACACCGTTAACGTGGAAGAAGACCCAAGCTGAGCATCTTCCCCTCTCCTCGCCCCCACCCTCCAAAAACACACACATATACTCTCTATCTCTGCCACACTCTCTGTCTCTGTCTCTGTCTTTGTCTCTCTCTCTCTCTAACACACACACTCACTCTCTCTCTCACTCTCACTCTCACTACTTTCCCCCCCTCCCCAGCCCCAACCCTAGCACACACAACTTCTTTCTCCGCACCGGCCAGAATTCGGGCGTCTGACCTGCCTCAGAGGTATGCAAATTCCTGCTCCCTATAGGAGCCCGGCAGGTCGCCCCTCAGCCTTGGAACCTCAAAATGTCCGAAGACCTCTTTGCCACCTAACCCTCTGAGTCTTCGGGGATATAAGTCTACTCCAAACCACAAGGACACTTCACTCTCCCCAGAACCCGGCAGTCCCGCCGTTCCCCTCCACCCCCGCCCCGACTTCGTTTCTCAATCCGTCCACTCCATGCCCCCGAAATGGACCCGACCCGTTCGCCATCCCCTCCAACCTATCTGACTCGGCTTCAGGAACAAGAACACCAGAATGCTCCAGAATCCTGTCATGCTCCGGTGCCCTGGGATGGCTGACTCCGATCTACCAGCCGTGTACTCTGGACTCCCGAACTACTCTGGTAGCCGTGAGGGGCGTGGTCCGTATAACTTCTCCCTCTGGTCCCCGCCTCCAGAAAGGTTAAATAACAAGCTCTCCAGGCAAAAAGTTAAGAGGAAGAAAGCTCTGACTTAAAAGTCGTCTTTTCTTTATTAAGCTGGGGTGTTGGGTCATTTTTGGTTTCGGTAGAAGGTGAAAAAAAAGTGACATCTGCCTCCCCAGATAGGAAGAGGATGGCGTGGGAGGGCAAGGAAAACACAAGGCAGACCTTGAGAAACAAAGGAAACTCATAGAAACAAGCAGGGACAGGCAAAGAAATGGAAACCGCCTCCGACGAGCCAAGTGTTTGCTGAGCCCGGGAAATTCCCACTATTTTCTCCAAGTTCGTGACTGGAGTGCCTGGAAAGATGGCTAGGGCAGGGAGTGGGGGCATCAAGGAAGTGCCAAAAGGAGTCTGGGGTTCTTTACAGACAGATCTGGGTGACCCAAAGTACTTTCACTTCCTCTTTTCCAATGGTAGGCGCCAGTAAACTGGCGCTCACAAGACTCCGCGGAGAAGAAATGCGAATTCAGGATTTAGCTGCTTCCTTGAGAAGAGAGACAACCAGCAAGGAACGTTCAAGTGTCTCCTTACACTCCTCAGCTAGGCAAAGAGGGTAAAAGATGGAAATAGTGTGAAATGGGTTGCGAGAAGAGTAGCTCACATATACCATACTTTAAGTTCGTTGCTGGATCTGGGAATTAGCTTAGTCATTCTGGAAAACAATTTAGAATCACATGAGAGAAGTCACTGAACTGTGCGTACCCTCTGACCTAGCGATTCCACTGCTAGTCAAAGACAGAAAAATCCCATTATGTATCAATATTCATAACAGCATGTGGTAGCAAAAACTTGGAAACAAGGTAAGTGTCCATTGATTAGAGAAATATTTTTAAAGGTGGTATGTGGGTATAAAAAATATTGTGCCTTAAGTAATGATAAATAGGAGATACTCAGAAATTTGGGGAGCCTTATGTATGAAACCAAAGATGAAAAAAAGCAGACCCTAAAGAACAAACAATATACACAATGATTGACAATGTAAATGAATACAACATTTAGATCAAATGTCAATATTATCGATCAAAGGTCAATATAAGTTACAGATAACGGATGATGGAACATTCTACTTTCCTCTTGATAGAGAATTGGAGGGCTGTAAGTGCATAATGTTAAACTCTCAGTCAAGGTTGAGGTAAACGCCTTTGTTTAATTTTTTTTTTTGTAATTATTGTAAAGGATAGTGCAGGGGAGAAAGGAGGATTACTGTTAAGTATAGTGTAGAAAATGGTGCGTTCATAAGACATTTTTTAAAATAAAAGAAAGAAACAAAAATACTTAAGTGTTGGCCTCCGAAGACTGCGGACTCAGCTATAGGGGGAATCTAGACTCTGGATGGGGGTGGGGCGTTCTGCGCGAGAGTGCCAGGTCTAGGTTGGGGGGCGGGGCATGATGTCACAGCCCTCCCCCACGCCGCCAGAGTATTTACCTTCGAACAGAGACGGCCGCTGGAGGTAAGGGGCACAGGGTAGAGGAGAAATAGAAATGGGAAGATAGCCCCGCAAGTATATACATTGACCAAATCTGACCTAGAAGATGGGCAACCTGGCCCTTTTCCTTCTACTTTCTGATTATAGGCCGTTATGAAATTCACCTTTCTTTCCTTATGATTTCCCAGTCTTCCTCGCACAAACAAAAAAACTCAGCCCTAAATGAAATAATCACCCCAGATTCAGTTTCTGGGTTTGACTCAATCCCTGTTAACCTCTATCTCCAGCACCTATTCCCTATTCTCAGCAGCTAATATGTCCTTCTTTACAGCCTCCATTCCTAACCCTAAATAGTGACTCTTTTAGTCTAATGCTAAACCATAGCCCTCCTTCCCCAACTCTTCCTTCTGCACTTAACTCCTCTTCCCTATCCACTCTTGAGTTTTAACCTAGTTTTAGTTTAGTTTAGTGAGCCCAGCCCTAAATCATAGTCCCTACTTCCCCATCTTCACTCCATCCTTTCCTACTCTAACTCCAGTTCCTCACATTCCTGTGTTCCTTTCCTCTCTCTGTGACTTGACTCCTTTGCTCTCCTAGAAATCATGGAGTTTGTATCTGGTTATCGGGATGAGTTCCTCGACTTTGCTGCCCTTCTATTTGGCTGGTTCCGCAAGTTTGCCTCAGAGCGTGGAACTGGGGTTGGTGGGGGGAATGGGTCTGAAGGTCGATCAAGGTTGATGGAGGCCCAGGTGAGACGGTTGCCCCCAGATCCTGCCCTCTGGGTCCTTCACATCTTGCCCAATCGTAGTGTGGGGATCAGCTTGGGGCAAGGTGCTAAGCAAGGACCAGGACCAGGTCTGGGAGCTGCCCGTCTTTTGGGAGATGAGCCCCCGCTCTGTCTCAGAGACCTCAGCCCCTATGTCAGCTTTGTTAGCCTTGAGGATGGAGAGGAAGAAGAAGATGGGGAGGAAGAGGGTACAGGTGGAGAGGAAGGTGAACTGGAGGAGGAAGGAGAGCAGGCCACCACCAGCCGGGAGCCTTCCCAGGATGCTGAGACACCTGGGGAACCAGAAGATGCTGAGGAAGAGGCAGGAGAGGACAGCAGTGGAGGGGACACCAGAGAAGATGGAGAAGAGGAAATGGGGCCAGAGAAGAGACGGGGAAAGAGAAGTGGTGAGAGGCCCAAATACAACCTTACTCCCAGTTTTGACCCAACCACTCACTCTCCACCAAGAGTGGCTCTGTTCCTATGCTTGTTCTATCTTTTCTGCTTGAAGAGAGAAATATTCACATTGACATAGTCCCCTTATACCCTTGGACATTCCTTTCCAACACAAGACATTTTGAAGTAACATTTATAAGAATGCTGAATGAGGAACATTTCACAATATGATAAAATGTAGTTAAATTTAAAATAGGGTTAACATTTTATATGAACAATAGAAAAATAGTCACTTAATCTTTCAGGAAAGTTCCTGGAGAACTGAAAAAATCACTTTCCTCAAGAGCTCTCCCCTCTGCTTGTCTCAGGTTACCTGAAGCAAACAAAAAGATCTCTTCCCTTGGATTGATTCCCTTATCCCTTTTGGGATAACGGGGACTAAGGGTAGTAGCGTCCTTAAGTGGGTCATTACTCTAATCCCTTCAAGAGATGGGGTACTGTACTAGATCTGAGATATTTCTCCTAAAAATGGTTACCATCGCTAACCCATTTTCTGGGACCTTTAGCTTTCTTTCTCTACCCTTTTCACATTTTCCTAAAAGAAAAAGATTAGGCTTAAGAGAAAGGGCAGAAAGGTTTTTAGTGGAGGTCGTTATTTCCTGAGAAGTTTAAGTAGTGATAAAGCTTTCTTCCTTGTGGTAAATATGAAAAGGACTAGCCTGGAGAAATATTTATTTCTTAATAATTTCAGTTGAATTAAAAGAAATTTTAATGTGCAAGATGTGTGAAGTAGGAGAGGAGCATGAACAATCCTTCTCCCAGCTCTACTGAATTTACCCTATATATGGGAATTCTTAATTATAGCTCTGTTTCTGCCTCTCCTCAGGCTCCTCCTCTTCCCTGAACTCCTAACCCCTATCCACATAGTCTTCCTTTGTACATCAACTCTAACTTTCCTTGAACCCCAATCCTCCTTCCCTTTCATCTGACTTCTCCCCTCTCTCTTCCCAGATGCTGCCCCCCTACACCTGGCCTGCCTTCTTCTGGTGACTGATGAACATGGCACTATCCTGGGCATTGACCTCCTGATGGGTGGACCCCAAGGGAGTGGAGGCAGGGCCACTGGGGCCGAGGGCCTGGCCCAAAGAGCTTACACTCTCCTCTGCCACAGTATGGCCTGCCCCATGGGAGCTGGAGACCCTAGAAGACCCCGGCAACTCACAGTGGGAGACCCCCAGCTACATCGGTACAGAGATGTGGGTCCCAAGTGGTGTAAAAAATGTCACAGGAAGGAGAAAGGGGAAGCACAGGGTCCTAAATGCATTGGTTTCAGAATGGTATGGAGGGTGTGTATACCTGTGCCCTAAAGAATATAGGGACTGGGAAGGGAGCTTGGGACCTGGATGCCCCAGCTCCTGATGGGGTGGGGGGCTGGGTCCTCATGCTGAAATTCATCTCATTCTCTATCCAGGGAACTGGAAAACTTGGTCCCAAAGCTTGGGGTGAAACTAGCCAAGACCCCAATGAGGACATGGGGCCCCCGGCCTGGCTTCACTTTTGCCTCACTCCGTGCCCGTGCCTGTCATGTGTGCCACAGACACAGTTTTGAAGTGAAGCTGATGCCCTGGTGAGCAGCTGTCATGAGTAGGAGTTAGACACTGAAGGTGGAGAGGGACAGGTCTGTTAGGTTATGTCTCGTGTCCTTCCCCATAACTGTTCTACTCTCGGTTTCATCTTCTCCAGCTCCCAGTGTGGTGCAGTCCTATACTGCGGGGAGACCTGTGTCTGGGCTGACTGGCGACGCAGGCCAGATGATGTGAGCCACCGATTCTGGTGCCCAAGACTTGCAGCTTTCATGGGGCGGGCTGGGGAGCTGGCAGCCTTACCCTTCACCTACACTGCTGGTACTAGGAATACCTGAGCCCCTGGGGGAATCTAGGGGACCAAGAATTAGGCCTTTAGAGAGTGTAGAAAGGACCAAGGAACTGGGAAGGGAAAAGATGCTGGGCTCCTAAGAGAACATGATGCAGGGTTGGTGGGGAGAGGAAGGGGATGCTCTGAGGCTTGGGGGCCAAAAGAGGTGTGTCTTGGGTGGGCACTTGGGATACAAAACACTACAGTCTGCGTTAGTGTGTCAAAACTCCCTGGGGCCAGAAAGATAGATATCTGAGCCCTCACCTCCTTCTCTCCTCCTCCAGAGGTAACAAGCGAGATGTTTAACAAGGAGGCATTCCTGGCCTCCCGAGGCCTCACACGAGGGTACTGGACTCAACTCAGCATGCTCCTCCCAGGTCCTGTTGCCCCAGGATGCCCCCCAGGCAATGGGCCTCCCCTCAGCCTGCTCCTCAGTGGTTCGTTGGGCATCCTGGAGGCTTGGGGAGGGGGTGGTGCTGTGCCCCGTTCTTTCCTATCACGTCCTCCCAGCTTTGCTTGTATTTATCCTGTTCCAAAGGATATAGGGGATACAACTACAGAAATGTGGGAGGCATTACGGGGAAGGTATGGAGAGAGGGCCAGAGGATGTCCTGGGCAGCAAGCAACGAGCATTTATTAAGTTCTTACTAAGTGCCAGGCACTGTACTAACACTGGGAATACAAATAAGAGCAAAAAGAAAGACAAGTCCCTGCTCTCAAGAAGCTGACATTCTAATGGGTGTAGGGTAGACCACCACAAAGGGAGCTGAGGTGGTGGGGAGGGGAGAGCAGTTTCAGAGAAAATTTTCTAGCTCCCTCCAAATCCACTTGAAACACATACATGTACACAAACAAGAGCCTGCTCAGGGCCATTCTGTCCGCAAGTATCTCTGCAAGCCAGCAGCTCTCCTAGCCCACTAACCCACACAAAAGAGGTTCTCCCCCTTAGTCACTCCATCCCCTATCCCCACCTCCCAGCTCCTGTCCAAATGCCTCCAAGAGTAATTTCAGATCAGTTCCTCTGTGGTGATAATTCATTGCAGTCCCTCTCGCTCCTCCCAGATCTAGAGACACCAGCCCCGGGTTCCCCTGCCTCCAAGGTTATTGATAAGGAGGGCTAGGCTAATGGGGACATCCCTCCTCCACCCCTACCTACCTCTTCTCTCAGGAGATCCTTACCAGCTGCTTCAAGGAGATGGACCCCCCCTGATGCCTCCACTGCCTCCTGACCCACCTCGAGGCCCTTTTGGTGAGAAGAATTAGGCACCCTCATCTCTGAAAGGAGAGGAAGGTGGGGAAGACAGGAACCAGAGGCTAGAGGTCTGGATCTGAGTTCCTAAGAACAACAAGTGCTCTGGTGGGAAGGAGTGTGTAGAAGGGAACAAGGTTGGAGGCCTACATCTTACAGTAAGACTTTATCTACCCATCTATTCACCCCTCCTCATCTCCCCACCACCACCAGGTTCCTGGCAAGATTACTATGCATGGCGTGGCTTGGGTCTGGACTCTCCTTTGGCTGTTCTCCTTACCTACCCACTGACTGTCTACTATGTTATTACACACCTGGTGCCCCAATCTTGTAAGAAAGGAACAGAGAAGATGGGTGCAGTTGGGAGGGACTAGAGATGGGGGAAACAGTGGAGGGGGTTGGGGTCAGACTGAGGTAAGAAGAGGTAGAAAACCAGAGGGCTGGACATAAAGAGGACAGAGAGGGAAGGGTTGGGGGATTATCAGTTTAATAAACTGTCCCTCCCCCTCTCCCCTTCTACATATACACCTAGTCCCAGAGCTGAATATCCAGAACAAACAATCCCTGAAAATCCATGTGGTAGAGGCTGGAAAGGAGTTTGATCTCATCATGGTGTTTTGGGTGAGACCCAAGAGGAAAATAGACGGGGTGGATAGGACTAGGTAATTTCTGACATGGAAGGTACCGAGGGAAGGCAGATGGCTGAGTCGCTGAAGAGGGAGGTTCTGGGAGGCTGAATTATTGGGGTCTTTGATGAGAGTGAGCTGAAAAAAAGACAGATACCTGGGTCTTGGAAAGGGAGGTGGGAATAGTTGGCCCTTATCCCCAAGGGTCAAGTGGGGAAGTTGAGGAGGCAGATACCTAGGACATTCAAAAGGAACTGGACTAGATGGAGGTGGGGAGAGGACAAGGGTGTTGTGGTGGTTGGGGGAGGAGGGTGGACAGTCAGTGTGACATTCCCCATTCTTCTACCTAGGAGCTCTCTGTTCTACTCCCTCATGTGGCCCTGGAACTGCAGTTTGTAGGTGGTGCTTTGCCTCCTGAGAATGACCAGCAACATTTTACGCTTCAGAGGGTATGATGGTCCTGGGGGGTAGAGGGTTACCCTGATCTGAGAAGATCTGATACAGCCCAGATACAGCCTCTGCCCCACCACAGCCACAGAAGAGCCTATGCTCTTCTTTCCCATAACTCGTCTTTTCTCTCACTTTCATTTCTTCCTCTCTTAATCAATATCCAAAAGCTTTTGCCCCAAGCTCTCTCTGATCTCCTTCCATCAGGATGGATCAGGAGTGTCTGTCCGTCCAGGCTCTGGGGTATCTGCTCATCCAGGCTCAGGAGCTAAAGAGAAGGGAAGCCGTAGAGATCTTCAGATCAAGGTTTCTGCCCGGCCCTACCATCTGCTTCAGGGACCCAAGCCTGATCTGGTGATTGGTGAGAGGCCCAAATGTGTGTGTGTGTGTGTGTGTGTGTGTGTGTGTGTGTGTGTGTGTGTCTGTATATGTGTGTGTGTGAGAGAGAGAGAGTGTGTGTGTGTGTGTGTGTGTGTGTCTGTGTGTGTTTGTCTGTAGGGGAGAAAGGAGCTGGAGTATTCTCTTCTCTCTCTCCTTTCTGCCTCTTCCTCAGGATTTAATTCTGGCTTTGGTCTCAAGGACACCTGGTTAAGTTCTCTGCCTCGATTACAGGTATGGAGAGTGGAAAGGAAAGGGCAAAGGAAGAAAGATAGGACTACTGGGGATACTATCCCCTTCTCCCTTCTTTCTATTACTGACCACCCTTGCAATCCATCTTATTCTAGGACTCTGGGATTTAGGCTCACCTATCATCTTCCCCTTTATCTTAGATATTGGATTCTCTAATCCTCTCCAATTCTCCATTGTGGACAAAGAGTGAAGTGTGTCTGTGTCCTTACACTCTGCTTTTTTCCCTATGACAAATATCTCTGGGGGTGGAGATACTTCCCATATGGGAAAGCTTAAAAGGGGCCTCTAATCCTGAATATTCTCCTCCAGTCTCTTAGAGTCCCTGCGTTTTTCACGGAGAGCAGTGAGTACAGCTGTGTCATGGATGAACAGACCATGGCTGGGGCCACAGGAGGGGGGACCAGTCCCCCACAGCCCAACCCCTTTCGATCACCCTTCCGCCTCCGGGCCTCAGACAACTGCATGCCTTGGTGAGGGGCTTTTCTGGTGCTTGAACCCATTCTTTCTTGATGTGGAATCCCCTGTCCTTTCCCTCCCTGCTGCTACTTTACTCCCTGACATTCCCCTATCATCATCCTGAACTTTCCATTCCTAGGCTCCTAGACTTCTCACATTTCTTCTTCTTCCCTCATGACCCTTCATGGTGCCCATTTCCTCCACCCCCTTTCACACCTCACTCCATATACCCAGATTTGTAATCTCCTATCTATAGAATTCCACTCAGAGACCTCACTACCTTCAGCCCTGCACCCTCTCATCCACATCCCTGGTCCTGATCTCACTTCTTCCCTTAGGTACTATAATGCCTTCATCTTTCACTTGGTCTACAAACCTCCTCAGGGGAGTGGGATCCGCCCTGCCCCTGGACCTGCCCCCCCTGTCCCAGCCCCAACAGTCCCTCTAGTCCCTGCCAGAAGGCGAAGAGGAGAGAAGAGGCCAAGTCGTGGAGGCCGAAGGCGAAGGTGAGAGTCAGAGATGGAATTATCACTTCCCATAAAATTGTTAAAAAGAAGAACCTTCAGGCAGAGGGGAAGAGATAGCTGGGGAAACAGGAAAGGTGAATAAAATTACTGGTTTGAGAGGCAAATGAAACAATGTGAACTGGCCCACTCTGTCCTCACTAGATCCTCTAGGCAGCAGCGTGGCACAGTGCATAAGAGTGCTGGGTCTGGGGTCAGGAAAACCTGAGTTCAAATCCAGCCTCCTAGCTGTGTCCCCCTGGGCAAATCACTTAAATGCTGTGTGACTCAGTTTCCTCAACTGTAAAATGAGGATAATAATAGTAGCCACCTACTTCCCAAGGTTGTTATGAGGATCAAATGAGATAATATTTGTAAAGTGCTTACAACAGTACTTGGCTTACCCTACCTTACTCTCACTACCCCTTTCTGTGCTCCTACTCTTCAGCCCAAAACTTCTCTATAACAAACTCTGTAGTCTTGTCCTTTGTTTCCTCCTTCAAGGAGAGGTGGTCCTTCTTGAGAAGACCAACCCTGATATTTGTGACCTTGGTACCATCCACCGCTTTTTCCTCCAGAAGCTTGTCCTGTATATCATTCCTTTTCTTTTTTATCTTCGATATGTTCTTATCTACTAGCTTGCTCCCTGATGCCTACAAACATGCTTTGGTCTTCTTTATCTTATAAACAAAACAAAAAACCCTTTAGTTAGCTCCATAATTCCCTTAAACAACCCATCCTATATCTCTTCTTTTCATAGCCAAGTTCCTAATGTTAGTTCTGTGAGGGAAGGGGAGGCCCAAGAACAGGGTCCCAAGGAGTTTGTGTATATACCAGACATCCTCAACACCAAGCAAAGCTTAGCCTAAGCTGCTTCAGAACAGAAGTTCCCCCCCAAGCAAAAACTGTACCAGCACCCCGGAATCATCAATTTTCAGGCTTCTTTGGTCCTGAGTCTTTTTGGGTTCAAAAGGGAAAGGTCTTGGCTACAATCTGAACATAAAAATAAGCACTCTGGAAAATTATTATTAAAAGCAACCATTCTTTAATTGACTCTGCCCCCATCCAGCCTGCATTAGAAAAATCCTACAATTCCTTTTGGGTTTGGCTGTGCTGCTCTCAATCCCACTGCACTTCTTCATAGTCACATTCTTTGTAAATGAATAATGATCTGAGTTTTTTTTAAAATAACAGTATTATATAGCATAATAATGAAGTAAACAAGTGAATAAAGCTTCCAAATGACTACTACTTTAGTTGCAGTGGAGAGGGAACAAATAGCTTTCTCTCTGCCTAAACACACATATACTGGTTTGGAGGAGAAACAAGTAGTAAATAGTGAACACGTAAAAAGATCAGCTCTCCTGCTCCAGAGATGGAAGTGGATGAAAAATGTAGTGGACTGAGTTTGTCCATCTCGCCAACCCAACTAAAAGCCCAGTCTGCTCTCAGTTCCTTATTCTAGTCTTTATTTAGATATTTCCTATGCTCTAGCTTCCATCTCTATTATTCTCTACTGTCCTCTGTTCTCCTTTGCCAAACAAGCAATGACTACCAGCCATTACTCAGCTCTGTGCTTTAATGGTCCTGAAGGGAGTACCGGAAGGTTCTCTATTCTGCCTTTCTGTCATTCCCACATTGCCTCCATTTTGCTCCTCCATATGGTTGCCACTTACCTGCAAAAGTCCCTTCAAGGTCAAAAGTCACAGGAACTAGGGGCAGCTAGGGGATGCAGTGGATAAAGCATTGGCCCTGAAGTCAAGAGGACCTGAGTTCAAATCTGGCCTCAGACCAAACACTTGACACTTACTAGCTGTGTGACCCTGGGCAAGTCACTTAAGCCCAATTGCCTAAAAAAAAAAAAAGTCACAGGAACTCTGGGCAATGTCTTTCCACCTATGGGCATATACTTCTAGAGGTTTTTACAATAGAAAATATGCTAAATTTGAAGTCAGAGAATGGGGCATCAAAGTAAACATCTCTTAAAATGACAAGGATTATTAGCCTAACATCAATGGTAATCACTCCATTTACATCAAATGTACATTGTTACATTCAGCAGACGTTGTTGTTCAATCGTGTCTGACTGTATGACCCCGTGGACATGATCATAGGGATTTTCTTGGCAAAGATACTGGTGTGGTTTGCCATTTCCTTCTTCAGTGTGTCCCCATTTTACAGATGAGGAACTGAGGCAAATAGGGGTTAAGTCACTTGGCCAAAGTCACACAACTAGTAAGTGTCCCAGGCCAGATTTGAATTCAGATCTTCTTGTCTTCAAGCCTGGTGCTCTATCCACTGTACCACCTAACTGCCCCTTCAGCAGACAAAGCAAAATTCAAAGCATCATGTCTGTTACATGAAGGGCATTGTCAAAGAAAAATATGAATACTTCATTTTAGGCACAAGTCTGCCAAAATAAATTTTTATTAAATATTAATCTAATATGTAAGCATTTCTAGCTTAGAGAGAGAAATATCCAAACTCTACTAGGCATTTCCATGCCCAAGAAATTTGAGGTGACATAAGAATCTTTTTTTTTTTTTTTTTTTTTGCTTTTTGGTGAGGTGATCGGAGTTAAGTGATTTGCCCAGGGTCACACAGCTAGTAAGTGCTAAGTGTCTGAGGTTGGATTTGAACTCAGGTCCTCCTGACTCCAAGGCCAGAGCTCTATCCACAGCACCACCTAGCTGCACCCATAGGAATCTTGAACAAGGAAAATACAGTTTGGGGTTAACATTCCAGAAAAATAATTTAATCTTCAACTAGAACAACTCAGTTCCTCTCTTGATCACTCCCCTCAAAGAATGAAAGGGAATTTCCTCCCTGAGATCAATATTGATCTCCTGAGATCAATATTGCAATCCTTTCTGAATAATAGAAGAGTATATTTCCCTTGGTAGTTCCCTGTACAATTGCATCAAGGGGTGGGCAAGGCACGGAACTAAACAAAGAGTTAGGATTGGTTATCTCTCATAATCCATTTCCTTAAGAAGGGTCTTACCTTTTTGTTCTACCCACTTTCCTAAAGGGAAAAGTCTAGAAATTGTTTTAGGTGAGGGAAAATATTATTTCTTAATATTTTCAGTTGAACTAAAAAGGTTTTTATTATGCTTCCACAATGTATTACATGTTGACATCATGAGTGTACATGCATAAATACAGTACAAAAGCAAAAAGTCATAATTTTTTTTTAAAAAGCACAGTTGTCAATAACATCATTAATAGGCCTAAATAGTATCAAAAAGCATGTATATACATCGGCATATATGAAAATAAACAAAAGACTAGAACTGCACAGCTAACTATAGCTATAGTAAATATATGATACTAGCACATTAGTAAATAAATATAAACTGCAAATAAAACAGAAGCATAACTGAAAAACATGAAGTTAATAACATTTGCAACTATATATGCAATTATATGCAAGAAACATCACAAGGACAAACATTAGTATTGTCATCTTGATACATGTGTAGTTATTTTTGTGCCTTTCCTGTAACATGTTATTATAGCCAAAAGATAGGGGGAGATTTAGCTCCCTTATGACTGGGAAATTTTTCTGCCCCTAGTTGATGGCGAAGACTTACCATCATCAATCACCACCATCAAATCTAGTTCCTAAACCTGACCTTGACTCACTCTGAGCATTTCTAGGCCCTGTAACCTAGGAATTTCTAAAGCTGAAATTCTAGGCAGGAAAGATGCTGCCTCTGGTTTCTCTAAGTCCCCTATCTCCAGGCAAAGTTGTTAGCGTTACAATATACAAAATCTTCATCACTTGAAAAATCACTTTCTGAGCCATTATCTAGTTCAAATACTCTTTGCCCACTCTCCAGGGCTATTATGTAAACATACATATTGCCCAGTGGAAGTAAGGAAGAGACTTAGGAATTTCATCTGTGGTACTCCAGGCTTACTCTATTACTATATCTCAGAGTGTGAATGAGGTTTGACAGATTGGATTTATGCAATTCCTCCATGGCCTGCCATGGCCTGTATCTGACCTGCCTTGGGAACACCTTCTGAGTAGAGCCCTACCAGAATGAAGGTAAACATTAGCTACAGGACACAACCATACAAGCTTGGTGATATTTGAATAAGAGATTGGGAGGGCAGCGGTCATCAGAGCAAACAGTGCTATGGGTGCCAATGGGTGCTCTAAGAGCCCTAGAAGGCCCTACATCCACCACCCTGCTAGATGGGCAGAGGGCAATAAAACTGTCTGGGTGTAGCTCCTGAAAGGTGGTTGATAAGAAAACAATGATCAGTAGGTGATGGGGGTGCTAGTGAAATTTTATCTGGAAATCCCAGGACAGAGACACTAAGGGCTCTTCACCTCTCCTAAATTTAAGGTATCCCCTAAGGTTCCCAACCTTAATAGCAGTCTTGAGCCACTCAGATCTCTCTCCTCAGATTTGAGGGACTTTGGAGATTAATCTGCCTCAGGCCAGGGTTTCCCTGAGAAGAGGATCATCATAGTTGTAGGACCTCAAGGGATCTCAAGGCCATATGCCAGAGTTGTGGTGACAGAGAGTGGTGGGATGTCAAATATGTGATTTGTTGCTGGACACCAGCAGCTGGGCTACTATAGTATCAGAGTACTCTAAACTAACATATAAAAACACTCTAATTTCCATTGGGAGGTTTTGAGAGGCAGATCACTGAGGGGAGAGGCATCCTTCCTCCGGTGGAAGACCCACTGTGTGGATCACAGTCATGGCTAATCAGAAGGAGTATATATGTGGGAATGAACATAATGAGTTCTTGGAAGTCAGTAATCTTTCAGGACCTTTTGGCAAGCTCTATGTGGGTTATTGTGGGTAGGACCAAATGGCACCCCTTGGAGCTACCCAAACCATCCTATATGGCTAATACCAAACAATACTGGATCCTGAAAGAGGGGTGAAAGCCACTTCCTCTCTGGTGGTGAAGATGGAGAGTGGAGCACTTCACATACCAAAGGCAGATGGCACCTGGCAGCTTAGAGTAGACTACAG